CAAAATGGTGGAAGATGTATGACTACATACAACGGTAAAGCCTATAGTTGTAACTGTTCACACCCTTTTTCTGGCCAAAGATGTGAAATAAGTAAGTTTAATTATGCAGGCATAAATATAAGCTATCATAAACGATAAGGCATCTAAATCAATCATTTAATAAAATTGAATTAAACTGATCGAACTAAAGCCACATCTTCTTTTACTCACGCTCAAAGATTGATTTTAAAACAAAACAATTTCCTTAAGCAGAACTTATTGTAGAATTTATTTTCTTACATTTAGCTTTAGCATGCTCTACTAATCCTTGTATGAATGGTGGCAACTGTACCAACCAAGGGAATGGTTCCACCTATGCTTGTGCATGCCCTTTTCCTTATACGGGTAGCAATTGTGCAACAAGTATGTCTACAAGTTATTATAGATCTTCTATATTCTAACAGCCATTGAATAAAGATAGACTGTGATGGTAGCATTCTTATAGTATTAATGACCTAGAATAATGAAATTTTTATCTCGTTTCATGTTAAAGTGCTTGCCTGTGCAAATGATCCTTGTATGAATGGTGGTACTTGTATAGATAAAGCTGGTGGTAGCTACACTTGTACATGTCCTAACAGTTATGGTGGCCAAAATTGCAGTACTTGTGAGTACCACGATAAAACATCATTTTCTGAATAAAACTAAAGTCACTAAACCAGTAAATAGTAGACTTGGTATCTCAATTAGAAAGAGCCAAAGAATTGTAATGGATTCTACATACGAGTATATCCAATACCCGGTTATAGTTTCACTACAGTATCCATCATACTCCTCTACTTTAAATGAGAACTAATAAATCCGTTGCTAGCAACGATAACCTTAGGAGTAGAAATGTTGTATTACCGTGCGTACTAGGCTTCTTCCTCAAAACAAAATACTTTGTTTGCTAAGCTATAATATAAAAGCACCCTAAAGTAATTTCATCCGGGTACAAGAGCTAGAACTTTCCTGCAGATTTTGTCTCCCTATAGACTTAATACCGACAACCTTTGTAGTCACTGCTGAAACTGCAATCATATCGATTCTATTTTTCGAACCGATTACCATTGTAGTGAAATCGGTTATCAAATAAGTAATACAGAATAACATACAAATTTGCTAATATCGACAGTACCGTAGAAGTCGTAGAGATTAATGCTAGAAATTGATTACCATAAATAGCAAATGCTAAATTGTGTATAGTAGCCGATTAGCATATCACGACAGAGTTATTCTGTAATAAAGTAGAGGTTAAATACGACTGCATAAGTATGATACTTTATAATTAAGGTTTTGTGTGCTTAAAGGCTGCAGTAAGATGCCAATAATTATCAAACATTGTTAGAACTTATATTTTATGGACAGTAAATATGGTATTAATTAGCAATTTGATGGATTTTTTTATAAAATGCTTAAAACGATGATATGGTTCCAACGCCCCTAGAAAGCAATTTTTCCCTATAAATTTAAGTCGTTAAGTTTATGCATTACTTATTACACGTTTTATTTATAATTATTCAACTTAATTAGTTCAACCCTGCGGCCTGAACCCGTGTATGAATGGGGGAATTTGTCAGCCAGTAGGTAATAGTTACAGCTGCAAATGCCTACATCCATATCAAGGAACTCAATGTCAGACCAGTAAGTTTCATATTTCACTCCTACGGAAATGATGACTTCTTCATGAAGTAGGGTTGCATTGACATTAATTTTAAATACAATTATTCGAGCGTGACGCCTGCGAATAAGATACAGTTTGTCATATTAAGCTGTGCTTATTTTAATTTTACGATGCAATATCCTCGTTTTGAATTCATTCTTGCTTTTACTGCTGTGTTCAAAGTTTCAAACATCAAGTTGCGGAAAAATTAGCTGACTCTCTAATAAAAATTATGTTTGATAGGACCCCAACAAGATGGTGACGTACGATTAGCTAATTCCGTCAAACCTGGAGTAGGATTAGCCCAAGTTTACTTCAATGGTACGTGGGGTGAAATCTGTAGCTATTCCTTCGGCACATTTGGTCTTGGAGAGGCTAGCGTTATATGTCAACAACTTGGATACTCTGGCGCATCAGCATATACAAGAACGAGTACCGCTACAAAATATGTTCTAGGTAGAACACGTTGCCTTGACGATGAAATTTCCATCTTGATGTGTAACTACGCTGGTTTTGGTGTTATTTCCGACTCTTGTTCAACTAGTAATGCAGTTTCTGTCACATGTAGAAGTAAGTACTTTATAAAGCTGAATAAATTTCGGTCAAGGCTAACCGTAAAGGTACTGCCTAAAATAATCCAGTAAAAATCGAAAGCAGAATTAATGAAAGTGTAACCAATAGCGATATACACTATTTGTATTCTTTACTTGAAACACCGACAAAGAACGAAGATATTACAAATATCTACCAAAGTATTTTACTTCAATATTCTTGTTAAGAGGATTCCTATCATAATACTGAAAAATGGCTCATTGCAAATCTCAGCATGCACATTCAGCCCAAATAACCTACAGTAATTGTTTTGATGTTTTATGAAACTATTTATCTATTTATTGTAAATAATTTTTCGAACGATATTCACTTATAAAACATAGATCAAAACAACTGCAATACGGAAAAGAATAAGACCTGTGCAGCGCAAAATAAAGTTTGTCGTTCAATTGGATTTTTTTCCACTCGATGTGTTTGCAAATACGGCTATACTGGTCCAAACTGCACGACTCCAATAGGTAGCTCTTTTTCCAACCAGAATCTAAAATTATTCATGATATGAATATTTAGGCCTATTTAGCCTAAAAAAAATCTGTTAAGAAACGAAATAGAATTCATCTAGCATAGTACCGTATATTATCACAAATCACAAAATTATTCTTTAAATCACTAAAATGCGCTTAATTTTGATTGTACTTATATATCATAACGCATATTCTATGATTCTATCGTGCTCAATTTAAAAGTAATGTAAGCGATTAATAAATTTAAAATAGAACTACTATTCAGAGTTAGGCATAAAGCCAAGATTACCCAATATAAATAGAAATTTCATTTTCGTACAACAGAACCATGATGATGCTTTCTTAAATTATAACTGTTATTTGCTACTTCACTCTAGTTACTCTACCATTAGAAGGCTCCGTTCGCATTTATGACTATTATAAAGCCTCCAACGCATCTGTACTAAATGTAGCAAAAGGAGCAATTGAAATTTTCCACAACGGTGTTTGGGGATCAATTTGTACGTCAAACGATGACTCCATCGCTGTTATGGCTTGCAAACAATTAGGCTATTCTGTAGGCTATAAAAGATCTTACTGTTGCGACTACTCTGGCCCTTCAAGAAAAATTTGGATCAATACGATGACATGCACTGGCAGCGAAAGCTCAATTGCTAACTGCTCCTTTACTTATGGAAAAAACACGTTTACTTGCTTTAATCGATTTAGAGTAGAGTGTATTAGTAAGTATATAGCTAGGATAGCATTCCATATTTCTAAATTGAACAAGTCAACGCGCTAATTAATACCGTAGCTAATATGCAATTGGTTTAAAACGAAATTTACTTTCATCAAAATAATAGATCATGTTAACAAGTATATACCTCGAATAACATTTCATATTTCTAAATTGAATAATTTATTTCCCTGATTAATAGCTGATATGCAAATGCTTTTCAAAATAAATTCATTTTTATCAAAATAATAACTTGTAGATTCCACTTGCCAAACTAATCCATGCCTTAACAACGGTGTTTGCTCTCTCAATCATACCACTGTTTTTGGTATTCCTGCAACAATCGCGCAATGTCACTGTCCACAAGGTTACTATGGAGACAAATGTCAGCTCAGAAATTTTTGCAATCCCAATTCTTGTGAAAATAACGGTCAATGCACGCCAGTCGGTACCGTTTCATATACATGCAAATGTAGTTATTCCTATGCAGGAAATAGATGTGAAAAAGGTATGCGGTTTGCGAAATCTGATAGATCAGCTTTCTCTAAGTCTTCTTATGAACACTTTAAATGACATTTTACTCTGGGGATTGCGTATCCATTATAAATAATGATCATATTATAGGATAGAGCAGCAATGATCGATCAGATAAAGATGTTAAAATCAATAGATGAGCAACTAATCTTCTTGCTACTGTTTATAGGGCCATTCACTAATAAATCAATAACGCTTGTCGCTGGAAGACCTTATCATCCCAATGTTGGACGTGTTCAATATTTCTACAATAATGAACAGAGACCAATTTGTTCCAGTGATTTCACGCTCTACGATGCTCATGTAGTATGTCAACAAATGGGTTTTGCTGGTGCTACTAGCATTACTAGCAGTGCTGCATTTGGAAGCCCGTTAATTACAAGTGGAATGAGAAACTTAAAATGCTCAGGCTATGAATCATCCATCTTTGATTGTCCTGGTAGTAATCCTAATAATACTGTGGCATGTTTCTCTAGTTATGCTGGAGTTTACTGCGCAAGTAAGCTGATAAAAATTAAAATAGTTAGTCTGAGATACGTTTATCGTGGATGAAGAGTGAAATTGAAACCTTTCGAAATTTTCTTTTCATTTTTATAAGCTAATAATTCTTGTTCGTCAAATCCATGCACGAATGGTGGCACCTGCTCCAACAAATTTTACGGGTATTCTTGTAAATGTAGCGGTCAATTTACAGGCCAAAATTGTCAAGATGCGACATGTACGTATTCAACTTGACGATATTATCTTAAATTTGTGAACATGAAAGTTAATTTAAGCCTTTTACTTTCACTTCTCGACTTTATGACTGTAGTATATGTGTTTATACTGTTAATGAATCGTAAACACATGTAAGAAACGCAATTTTATCTGATATTCTAACCCGCATTTACCGTAGTTATCATAATTGAAAGGTCATTTGTAGTTTAATAAAAATATAAGATGATTGTAATAAATTGGATTCATATTCTTCTTCTATATTTGGCACATTATACAGTTCCAACTTCTGGCTCTGTTCGATTAGTCAACGGCAGTAACCCATTAAGTGGACGTGTTGAAGTTTATTTAAATAATAACTGGTCTACAGTCTGTCTTAACCAATCTTCTATCCAAGATATGAAAGTCATTTGCAAACAAATGGGCTATATATTTGCTAATGCATTCCCAACGCCGGTATTTGGCCAAGGTAATACTGCTACTATCTATCAGCTTAAATGTACTGGTACTGAAAATTCAGTTAAAGACTGTCCAGCTGTAGCGGTTACTAATCAAGGTGGTTGCACTCATCAGTGGGACTTAAGTCTTGCTTGCTCAGGTATGTAAAGTTGCAAGATTTGGAATTGTTCACAAATAAGACAAAACTATCTTGTATAACTTTAGTTATTTCGAATTGATTTTACTTTCATTTTGCGCCTTCCTATTTAGGTGCTAATGCAAAAAATGGAGATCTCCGATTAGCTAGTACAAGTAACACGGGTGGAATTGTTCAAGTATTCTATCAAGGGACATGGGGGACTATTTGTCGTTCTAGTTCTAGTTTCTTAACGTTTAGACAAGTTTGTCAACAATTAGGATTTCGCACGTACTCCTCAACAAAAGCTGTTGCAACCAGATTTTTCGGTTATGGCCCAACGATAGTAAATAAAGTTACCTGCGAAGGCAAAGAATTTACCATTGATGAATGCAATAGTGCGGGCTGGTATAATGTTCCACAAGACTGTCAAGATCATTCTCAAGATTTATCCATCGAGTGTCTTAGTATGTTCTTTCACTAACTCGTGAAAATGTCCTTATAAAATCCCCGAAATACGGAATGTATATCAAATTATCAAATTTCCCTTGACTTCTATTTTGTATTGTAGCTGGAAGCCGATGCGATGCTACCGAAATACAAAGCTGCGCACCCCAAAACAAGTACTGTACTTCTGAAGGTTTCTATGGATTATGCTACTGCAAATCCGGTTTTACCGGTGCCAAGTGTGAATCACCAATAGGTAACTACCTAAATTTTGACCTCTAAGCGAATATAAACTCACCTAAAGCTGCTATATTCCAGTGAATTCATTATATTACCAGATATTTATGCAGTTTAGCATTGAAGATTAGATCTTTATAGACTTTGTTTAAGTAAAATCGATCAATTGATATACAATTATTCAATTCTAAAATTAAATAGACTACTATCTTTAGCAACGAGGACTTAGCATAATCTTTGATTATGTTATTATTCTGAATGTATCAGCAGCTTCTATACGAAAATCACAATTATCCAATTTTCATTTAAATATTAGGCAATGCACTTATTTTAGTATCACTAGACTGATAAGAAAGACCGATAGGATGTCATTAAAATTATTTTCCTGCATGATATTTCATTCTCTACTATATTTTCAATTTTAGTTTCGCCAGAAGATGGGACAGTTAAACTAGTTAAATCGACTACGACAAGTAATACTATTGAAGGTGCTCCATTGATTTATCATGATGGCATTTGGGGAGCATTCTGCTACTCTCAGATGACAAAACTTGAAGCCGATGTTATTTGTCGAGAACTTGGTTACGCAACATCAACTAAGCATTCATGCTGCTACACAGATAGTAATACTTTTGAGAAAGTTTGGGTTTACAATATGAAATGTAATAGTACTGCAACGAAGTTCTCTCAGTGTAATTTTACTTACGGTTTAAATGCTTACAGTTGCAGCAGCCGTGCAAAAGTGCAATGTTCTAGTAAGTTGACCTAACTCTTCTAATTTGGTATTATAGGAATATTGTCAAGCTTGTAACTGCATTTCCGCTTTTTAATCCTCTAGATACAACATGCTCTCCAAATACTTGTGTTAACGGGACTTGCAAATTTAATACTTCGGTGGTCGATGGCAAGACCTACTACTTTCAATATTGTGAATGTAAACCGGGTACTTATGGCCCTTTATGCCAGTACATATCCGTCTGTGATAGCAGCCCATGTATGAACGGTGCCAAATGCGTAAATTCCTATAGTACAGTAGACAAGAATTACTACCAATGTCAGTGCTCCAGTGGATATTACGGCAATTTATGTCAATATGGTAAGGTTATTTTAATTTAATTACTGTCCTTGCAGTCATAATTTCCATTCTAAGTGCACGAATATCGGTTAAACAGTATATCTTAGCTTAGAGGGCCCGATTGTAAAATGTCGAATAGAAATACTGATTTCGTCCATTAGTACGATAGAATGCTTGCAAAGCTACTGTTTATGCTATAATTTTGAGCTAAGGTAATTTAATTATCGTAGATTACACTACCTAAGCACTTTCTGATGGCTATAGAATGGATTAATATAATTAAATTGAAATGCTATTAGCAGAAATAGCCAGAAATTGAATCTACCGCAGCGACACTGATTTATTATCGCTAAATTTAAATCTTGCAATTCAATAGGTCCACCTAAGACCGGCGATGTAAATATTATCCCAGAGTCTATAAGTAATCTCGGTCGAGGTCGTATTGAAGTATACCTGCAAGGCATTTGGACTACTGTTTGTAAAAAGAACTTCACTAATCAAGCTGCAGACGTTGTCTGCCAACAGCGTGGTTACGCAGGAGCAATTACCTCGGGCTCCTTCTATGATTCTGGTACTGGCAAAATTGGTCTATACAATGTTCGATGTTCTGGTTTTGAGCTCTCGTTGAGCGAATGTTCATATGATACTAATAATGCCGAATCAATATGCAATCACGATGATGATGTCGGAGTTAGCTGCTATACAAGTAAGCTCATCTTTAATAATTACATTTAAAGTACCGGACATGTTCGGTAGTTTACACATTATCTTAAGTAGCAACTGATAAGTTTCATCTTCTGTTACCCTGAGGCAAATACTAACACAAATTATTTCATAATAATCTATCTACTTAATAAAAACACTATTTTCCTTGTTCAGGTTTAAATTACTGCTATGGAAAAACATGCTATAATGGTGGAACTTGCAGGAATATGAATTATGGTTACAAATGTTTATGTACGACTTTTTATTCGGGCCAGTTATGCGAAAATTATATAGGTTAGAAGGTTCAAATCCAAAAGTATATACAGTAGATTTTAATAAACAGCCCGTAGTTTATTTTTATGGAATGACCAATCAATATTATCATTTTTCAACTTCTAGGACCATCTAAGCAAGGCGATGTTCAACTCAAGAACGGAGTTAATGCTACTGAAGGTCGCGTGGAAGTATACGTTGGTGACCGTTGGGCGACATTATGTGATAAAGTAGCTACAATTAATGACGGCAAAGTCATCTGCAATCAGTTAAATTTGACCTTTTCTCGATATTTACCCAAAGCCTACTTTGGTAGAGGTAATAGCTCAGCAGCTATCGTATCAACTAGTTGCACTGGTAACGAGATAAGTTTGAGAGCCTGCAATATGAAAACACTCACCAGTGCTAGTGGTTGTACTCATGCGAATGATGTCAGCATTTTATGCAGCAGTAAGTACTCGCACTGCCAAATGACCCAAGCTATCAGAAATAATTTACGTTTAGCTACTTACTTCCGTATTATACTATTTTGCAGTAATCTTCTATAAGAGATATAATAACGCGCTGCACCACAGTTTTCTAATTTTTATTTCGAAAATTAAATATTAATCATATCAATGTTATTTGCTAATCAATTTCTGATTTTGAAATCACAGCATCCTTATGTCAACGGCAACCTTGCCAAAACGGTGGGACATGTGTAGCAGATAGTTTAAACTTTTTTTGCCAATGTCCACCTCAATATACTGGCCAATACTGCCAATTCGGTAACTCATTTTCAATTTGAATTTCATTTATTTCAATTTAGCTTCAATTAATATGTTTTAATTCATTTATCGGATCAAAAGTAACCGATGGCAGTGTCAAACTAGTTCGAGTTTTTATCGGCTTCTTCCTTACTCGATACGAGCTGCAATTATTTCATAATAACGAGTGGAGACCAGTATGTGATGACGGCTTCACCACAGTCGAAGCTAAAGTAGCATGTAAACAATTGGGATTTGTTGGATATAAAAGGTATTACTGCTGTGGTTCCCACTTTGGAAAGTACTGGTTAAAAAATGTAGATTGCGTTGGAACTGAATCAAGTTTAACACAGTGTGAAATTGGATCCTATGATGCACAATGTTCATCCAGTAGTGCAGTTATGCTGGAATGTACAAGTAAGTCAGGCGATATAAGCTATATTGGCTTCATTATAATTTATACAAATCCATTGCTATATTAAGCAAATCTTGATTCTGTTTACAGCATGTATGCTTGCCTAAATCTGTTAACTGTATTAATATTGGAAATGATTTTTCCCATCTTAAAATGATAGCCGATGCTTGCGATAGCAGTCCCTGCGGTTTTAGGGGTACATGCCAGCTAGTTAATGGAAGCGTTGACGCATATACTTGTGTATGTCAAGCAGGTTATACCGGACCAACGTGTTCTTCTAGTAAGTTTTACACTAATATATAAGTAATTTTAGGCGAAAATTATCACCTATGCGTAAAGGTCAGATTGATTTACATGGTAGTTCATAGAACTAATAATTCGTAATGCGTTAATAAATATTATTCGTCAAAAATAATTGATGAGTGCATTTCTCATCAGCGTGTTTCTTTAACCCATAAAGATATATTCGTATATCTGAAAATTATAAGTGAAATTATCATGAAATTATGATTGACCTTCAATTTTTCTATAGTTTAGCTTTAATTCAAACGGATCAATTGCAGTAGGATAGCATAATTTGAATACAAGTATCTTCAAAAATCCGAAATTGATTCTGCTATTTTATTATTCTCCTTGCGAGCGAACTAATCATTGATCTGCATGCTTTATAGCAAAAATTGTTTGACAGTCATAAAACTTAGTATCAAAACAGTCAAAATTTAGGATACCAATGGAATTCTTTATGTAGTAAAACTCCCTTGATTCTATAGCAATCTATTGCATGCTTTACTTTATAAACATAATAAATGATTCGATTGCATTAGCTTTAGTTACTTCTTACATTTATTTGTTTCTCTTTCTCTATCTCCAAATAGAAATTCAATGTTCCACCAATCCTTGCGGCCAACAAGCAACCTGCATAAACCAGAATTATGGATTTAGCTGTCTATGTCCTCCGGGATTTCATGGGAAAGATTGTTCAGAAAGTTAGTAACAAAAGCTTTAGCTATTCGGATATAATGATCGAGTGATTTCTGTTTAATACGTTTTTAACCTGATTCATTTGATGAAATTTCGCTACTACGTCTCATTAAAATTATAGAAGCAACCGATGGTGATGTCCGGCTTACAACACCCCAAGGGAATAATGATGTTAGTTCTGGAACACTTCAAATTTATAAGAACGGAACTTGGGGTAGTGTCTGTGATTTCGGTACATTCAATACAGCAGCAGGCAAACTGATCTGTTCAAAATTAAACTATCCAATATTAATATCAATCAAAAAGAACAGCTTTTATGGTGGAGCAACCGGGAGTATACCATACTGTAAGTTAATATGCAAGAATATTATTACAACTTTGTTTAATAAATTTATTCATTTGAAAAGTCCATAAGCAGGATTACTATACTATATTAGAGCAATTTATAGGTAAAATAAGTTGATATGATCTAATATTGATCTATTCCTTTGAAATTAGCCGGCATTACCTGCACAGGAAATGAAACTTCAATCTTAAATTGCAACTTAAGAACGCAAGTATCATCATTTTGTGACTACACGGATCTTGTTGGTCTTAGTTGTACAGGTAGAATGTAATTTGCATTGGCCTTTCCATTCATCAACTCAATGCTAGACATACGAACTATAACTGCATTTTTACACCTACGTTAAATTCTAAATTCTACCAGACAATCCATGCTATTCATCCCCCTGCCATTATGGCACATGCGTTAAACTATCTTCATCTGCTTTTACTTGCAAATGTACACCCGGATTCATTGGCAGCCTATGCAATCAATGTAAGTAATATTTAAGCATGGCTTATCTTAAAATTTTCAATTATTGTAAAGCCACATATCTTCAATCAAAAGGAGTTGGTTTATGATCACGCTAAGAAATAATATTTTTTTTACAGTATCTGACACTGAGCCATTAAGGCTGCTTGGTGGACCAAATCGATACTCTGGAAATCTTGAAGTATTTTTCAAAGGTAGATGGGGATCAGTTTGTGATGACCGATTTGATCTTAAGGATGCAAACGTTGCCTGTAGGCAACTTGGATTTGCGAGTGCTAAGGACTTTGCCTGTTGCTCAAAATATGGCTCAAAGGTGACCCCATACTGGCTAGATGATCTTGACTGCACAGGCACTGAAACAGCATTATCTTTATGTAAGCATAGTGCTTGGGGAGTTGCAAACTGTGGAAATCTTGAAGTTGCTAGCATAGAATGCCAAGGAAATTGGTGCAATGCAAGCGTTTGTGCTCCAAATGCAACCTGCCATACCATACTGGGTGCAGAATCTTTCTATTGCGAATGTCCTCCAGGATATTATGGTCTCAACTGTCAATTAGGGCCTGTAGCAAATGGAGCTGTACGAATAAGTGGTACTAGCATCATTAGTGGTACTGGATTCGTCGAAGTTTACCAAAATGGGGCTTGGGGCACAGTATGCAATAACAATAATGTCGATATTACTACTGCATCAGTCTTATGCAGAGCTGCTGGTTACGGTAATGCGACCAACGTATATTCATTCCCTATCTATGGAAAAGGCAAAGAAAAAATACAATTTGATAGCTTAAAATGCTTTGGTCACGAAACATCTCCAAGTGATTGCACCCGCCGAGTCCCAGCTCTCGCTAATTGTACCCATGACATGGACTTGGCCATCAAATGTAGCAGTAAGTCTAATAGAAGCGATTTAAGTTATATAGGAAATGACAACAGATAAGGGTTATCTTATATTACTCTATGAATAACTAAAGTTACTGCATGACATCACATTAATGCAAGCTACATCTTATCAATTTATAATAAATCTATCTTTACCACAGTAATAGTTGCGAAATCAATCATAAAATATCATTTATTATGGCCTTTCTTAATAGTTTAGTAATTTAGAAAGTAAATTTTCTTATCCTAAGTTGTAAAAAGCTGCTTTTCTTCTCTGTTCTTAAACAGATCATTACTGCTACACAAATAAACAAAGTTGCAACAATCGCGGTGTTTGTGTCGCCATGAGCCAGGACGATGAATATATTTGTCAATGTAATAAAGGCTTTACTGGAAAAGACTGCCAAACCGGTACTTAATATAAAGTAAAATTCAAAGATTTAATCGATCATTAAAAATAAATACTTGATATTCTCATAATGTGCTAGAAGTTGCATAAAAATGAGCGTACTGAAAATTAAGTGATATATGATAATGCTACGTTTTCATCAAATAAAATACGTTGTGTCCTTAATATCGACTACTTTATAACGTCTACATGATCATGTTTAATTGCTTGTAGATATTAACGAGTGCGCCAACAACCCTTGCCAATCTGTAGCTGGTGGACGAGCCGTTTGTAAAGACTACGTCGGATATTATACTTGCCAGTGTCCAGAAGGCTATAGCGGATATAATTGTCTATTTTGTAAGATTGAGCGACAATAAGATTATCAGACTAAAATATAGCAATACGGATAAAGCATTAAAAGATCTTTCAAAATAACAACTAGCCTAAAACTTATTGTAATTTTAAGTAATCATGTTACTTTCCTAGTGTATCTGGCGGTACTTATAGCCACTTTCTAATTTCAGATGTGATGAATCACAATTTTCTCTTTAAAATTTCCAATCATAGATTCTACAGTCATTGGAATCCGCTTGACAGGCTCATCAATATATAGTCAAGGTTTGGTCGAAGTATACAATGGCCAGACTTGGGGTAAAGTTTGTAATAGCTTCTGGCAATTCCAAGATGCTCAAGTAGCATGTCGACAACTTGGATTTGCCGATACGCAATTACGTAGCCAATGCTGTGGTAATAGTTCTATGACCACAATCATTGGAAAGATTGGGTGTACCGGTAAAGAGCCAAATCTCGCCAATTGCACCCAAAGCAATCTTGCCGGGGATATAAGTCAATGTTCTACTACTATGGGTGCTCAAGCATTCTGCGTTGGTAATTTGCTGATACTACTGTGATTGATAAATCATAATAAGAAAATAATTATTTTATGAAATTTTCGATTATGAATTAAAATTTTTCGGCGTGTACTTATAAAGTTCTCTCTAAACATACAGATCAGCCATTAGACCCCAACCTCAATGGTGCCAACCAACTGCCATCCAAGTACGTACCATAGTAACTAGAAATAGATATCAATGATATCAGTCTTATATTGCCTTAAATATTAAAGAATTAAAATCAAGCTATCTTTATAAATTAATCAAGATATTTTTTGTGCTAAATCAAATTAAATTACTTCATTCTGCAATTAAACAATCACGAACTAATAACAGCTACGTCTGCCAGACAGGTTAGTAAATGCGAATTCTTTCAGTGCTACAGTAATAACGCAAACACTTTAATTCTCTTACCTTAATCTTAATTGAATTCATATTCTATAAAATGACTTCAATGCATCACTTTTATTTTTATAGCAATTTTGAATAAATTTCATTTAATTGTCTTTTTAATAAATGTCGAAATTTAGAGATCAGTGCCTGTCTTAGCTCACCATGTGGCAATTCAGGAGCAACATGCTTAGACATATTGAAGCCTACGAAGACTTATGCATGCTTATGTGATTTTGGATATTGGAACGGAAATGCCTGCGTCAAAGGTAAATCTAAAGAGTTTATAATTTCGTAGGTTTAAATGGTTTTACATCAAGCCTAGATAAAATAAAATGATCAGCTTGCGAAGTTCATTTCGATTAAACAATACTTCACTAAATTATTATTAGGCAATTGCTCTAGCTGTTCTAACATATTGTAACCTGTATAAACAGATATGACTTTATCTCAAGTTACGCTGGCAGCCAATGCTACGCAATATTTTGTCGGCCAATATTTATCGCTGCAATGTATGGCCTATTCCTATCCCATATCTAGTATTTTATGGGCTAAAAACGATGTTCAAATCATATCTAATGCCAACATTGGATTTGTGACAAGTACTACGTCTGGTTATATCGCGAAATCGGTACTCTATTTTAAAAGCCTAAAGCGCGGTGATAACGGTGTCTACTCATGCAGTGGTTTAGATTCCTCAGGCAAAGTAGTAAAAAGCAATCTCATCAACCTTCGTAAGTACCATCTATTGTAAGCATGGATGTGAACTAATTAGAATCACAGAATACTGGTGTATACGCTACTTTAGGTGTACTGATTTTATATGTAAGCCGTCAATACTGCACAATCTATATTTACCTCAAATTCTCAAGCAAAGCATATCGAAACGACTTGAACCCATAAATAATATTTTACAGTATATAAATTTCATTTATGATAATATTTATGAAAGTTTGACGCTTATTTTGCAATGCACGAAATTTTCAAACCTATTATATCAATTTTTACGAACTGTGATATGAAATTTTTCATTATTCAGAATTTAGCTGTTCACCACAGTTTTGCAGCAACCAAGGTCAATGTGTCATGTCCGACAATGCGCCATCTTGCAGGTATTATAACATACTGCATAAACCATATTAAATATTACCTATAGATATAATAATATTATTTTCACATTAACATCAACAGTAGCTGTAATGCTGGCTATACTGGAACCTATTGCGAATCTGCTTTACCCCGTAAGTATTCGTATTTCAGTAAATAATCAAAACTATGATCGATTGGATTCAGTTTTAAAATATCAAATTTTAATCAATAATCTAACAAATATAGTGTACTATTCTATGTTAATTATTATGATTTATTCAACTTAAGTGTAAATCTACCCAAAAACACCAATATTTTCTTTGATATTTGGAATAGCTGTACCGCTAAGAAGCGTTATTGTCAAGTCCAATCTTACTACCTATACTGTTGGCCAATACGCCGGATTAGACTGTGAAGCTCTCTCTTATCCATTATCTACCATTACCTGGACCGTAAATAATGCTCTGGTCACTTCAGGAAATAAATATAACATTGTTTCCATCCCTGGTAACAACTACTACCAAGCTAGATCCTCTATGTATTTCATGGTGCAATCTATAAATGATAATGGAGCTTACAGTTGTTCTGCAAGGCAGTCTTCGACGAGCAAAGTGGTTAAAAGCAACACCATTGATATTAGTAAGTTCTATCATGAAATTACACATAGTTAAGTGTTAAATTTTATAAGCCTTCAATCCTAAAAATAAAATATCATCTACGTAAATTTATATCATAAACGTTATCAAATTATTATGAAAATTAATATAATAGCTTATAATATAGACTATCGATAAATTTACAATGTAGTACAAGAATCTCAATCATGTTGTTCAGTTTATTTCCATTTAAACTCGTACTGCATACAGTATTCTTCAGTAATTTAATAAATATCTAGTAAATACAGTAATCTATAGCTAAAATAATAGCCATAATTGATGTAGAATGATCCGATCATTACTAAAAAGCTATGCTTACGATGCCTAGTTTGATAAATTACTCATGTTGCTAAGTCTTCACACGGTTTCTATTTTAAATCTAATGCATATACCATCACAATCTTTACGTATCACCAACACTACAATATTCTCATCTATGTTAGGTCTTTCATGTTCATCTCTACTATGCAATAATAATGGTCAATGTAATATGGTTAGTTCGATCCCGATCTGCAGGTAATATAGTGTATAGCTAATATTATGTATATGAATTCTACTAGTAGACTTGTGTATCTTTAATAATCTATCAAAAACTTTATCCACTGGTTAACATAGCATAACAGTTACATAAAAATATAGTTTGTATAATTTCTTTTAATAAAATTACAACTTACGCATTATTTCGTCATTACTATCACATATTCTAGTTGTAATGCTTACCACACCGGTATTTATTGCCAGACTAGACTGCCAGGTATGTTTTCTTAACGTCTGTATTTATACTCTACTAGCTGTTTTTATATTAGAAAAATGTATTACTAAAAGTTGCTGCAGATAACATATAAATATAGATACAAAGTAAGCCAAATTATAAGGCTGATGCTTCTTCATTGAACATAAAGTATAAATGCTCCTAAAATTGAAAGGTCTAGCTCATTATAAATATCGCAATATTTACATATTTATCTACTACTGTACTATACTATTTAGATATCCCATTATCTACTGTGTCTTTAACAAGCAACGCTACTACTTATACTTACGGTGCCTATATCGCTCTAACTTGTCAAACTACAACTCGCCCTATATCTGGACTATCTTGGACTAAGAATGGAGCTTCAATTTCTACTGGAAGTAATGTTATGATCACATACTCAGCATCAGCTGATCAAACAGTAGCCAAATCTGTCCTGCTCTTTAGTAACCTAACATTAAGCAACAACGGTGATTTTAGATGTACCGCGAAATATAATCAAACCGGAGCAACAGCTCAAAGCTCCATTGTTTCCATAAGTAAGTTTTAATATGTATCAAATTATCAAAATAAGTTTATAGCCTTGATCACATTCAAGCTATATTTTACTGCTATTTCAAAATTATAAATGCTAGATCAGTACTAGACAAAATATTTCACTAAATAAATGATTACGAATTTCTTGTACGTAAATAAGCGGTTTTCTTTTTCTAAAATATTGATACATTAACTCAATTTTGCTGCAAATAGGAATGTCATGTTCTACAGGATTCTGCAATAATAATGGAATATGCAGTACAGTCACCGGTAGTGATTCGCTGCAATGCAGGTACCGTAGATACATATCTCAATTCTAATTAATTAATCCGACAGTTTCCGTATCATCATACAAAAACTCGTAGCAAATAACTTTAAGGTTGTAATCCAACATCGGAATTGATGTTCAATTTTCATTTTATCTACTGAAGCTGCAATTTTGGAGTCATTGGAAACCAATGCCAGACAGTATTGCCAAGTAAGCTATATTGTATTTTGATTTAACTCCCAATCTTACTGTAATTATACTTATATTTGATAAATTCTGGTTAAAGAGTTTAAACTTACATATTATGATTTCTTTAACTGTTGAACGGAATAGTAATAATCTTTTATAAAATTTAAATTGTTAAATCATGTAACGAGATTCAGTTTACTTTTGCTTTTCATTATCCACTTTGGTGGTATATTTGATATATAAGTATCAGCTAAGACTGTATGGGAGTTATATATTACTGCTTTCCATATCCAAAGCTAGCCTAAACAATTTAGCTATGAAATAATAGCAGGTTTCTAGATACATAAAACTATGGTCTACTACTATTTAGTATGAGAAAAATACAATCTCAGCACCCTCCACTTGCACACGTGTATAATACTATAGTGTTTTCCTCATACTTCACTACATGTACTAAAATAATGTCTACGGTAAAGAATTAGTTATACAAGTAAAAGGTTTTATTATAAATATGTAATAGCTAATTGCTATCATTTGCTAATTTTATAGATCTACCTATCAGTATCGTTACTGGGAAATCAAATGTTACACGATACTATGTTGGAACGACCATAGGATTACAGTGCGAAGCAACAGCTCGACCAAGGCCAAGATTTGTATGGTTACATAACGGCAATCAAATCTCGATTGGAGGTCGTCTCACAACCTTTTTATCACCTTTAAACTCTAACCAAAAATCTATTATGAACCTGGTAATTTCAAAAGTTGTACCAAGTGATGCTGGTAGTTACCGATGCCGAGTCATCGGTAATAATAATACTGGCGGTAACACTGACACAGTAGAAATTGCAGTGGCTACGATCCGTAAGTTTTGATTTGCTTTCTATATCTGATTTCACAAAACTTAAGCTATTCATATGATGTTAACTTGATTTTGACGTTATACGATCGAAGAAAAGTTATAATTTTAGATTTAACAACGAATAAAGTCGATTCATTCTGCTATTATAATTTAACAACTACACTTACAGAGTTTGCATGTTCGCCGGCCTTTTGTAATTCGCAAGGCCAATGTACTTCAGGAAGTTCTGGGCCAGTATGCAGGTAAAACGCTAACTATACAATATACAGTATG